TAGAGCTATTGGTAAGAAGTGGGACCCACAATGTCTTGAGATAATTAGTATCGTAATTTGTAAACTGCAGTACAAACTGTTTAATGGACAGCTTTCAGCATTTTACTAAATTGGAACGAAACAAAAGTCATACCCTTCATACCCCAAACTGCTGTCATAATACCCCAATTTCAATCACTTCAGGTAATTTAATTTCAAGTCTTTCCTGCCAATGACAGTTTAATGATTTAATTGTTCAACGAATATATTTTATTAAAATATTTATTACAATATTTAATACTTCAATGATGTTTGAATTAAATATTGAATTTAGTTTTTAGAAAAAGAATCACAAAAAAACATGTTCATTCCATTAGGTTTGAAAGGCCATGAGTTTTAAGTATTGCCACAATTTAAAAGCGAATATTTCAAGAAACAGTAGAGATTTTTAATTTCAGATTTCAAATTTTCACTTATTATTCAGAGTAGGAAGAATGAGACAAAAAACTTCCATTTCTATTTTATGCAGAATAGAATTGCATATATATATTATTTAAAAAGGTTTCAAACATTGTTTAATGTTTATGTATATATTTCGAATACGTTTTTGAATTAAATCAAGGCTATATAACAGTTCCTTTTCCAGTTTTTCAAAAAAATCTTTAAATTTCAAACAGTATAAATTTATATTTATTCTCTATAATTTAATACATTTTACTACGGTCGCAATAATTATGATTCTTAAACACATTAATTTCATTTCACAAATACATTAATGGATTTATAAATTCTAAATTCAAACTATAAGATTTAAGTGTTTCATTTCTAAACGAAAATATCATATTTTACGATTGCAGTCCAAATAGCTGAAATTGTCAGTTAAACAAAAATACCAATCTAGGGTAAGGGAAACAACAAATTTATATATAATTACAGTTAAAAGTGTTAATAACCTACGGATAGCAAGTTTTCCTTTCAGAAAATTTTACAAATTGTTAGAATTGTGAAAAAATAAATTATCTATATTTTTGTGTCATGTATCAAAAGGTCTTTTAAGATAAAAAAAACGCTATTTCAATGAAAACCTAAGGAGACAAGGGGTACAATGGTGAAACAGACAACTAGCCTCATCACTCAGAACGTGATGTCCTTTAATTGTGAATTGTTTTATTTATAGAGACTTGAAAAATTCATCTCGGCCAAAAAATGGAATTAACACGTCAACATTTTCATGTGATCATTTTTTATAACTTTCGACGTAGATTATCACGACAAGAGTGCATTGATGAACATAAATCTTTGTATGGCGATGAAGCACCATCCTATAGCACTGTGCAAGATTGGTTTAATGAAGTGAAGGTCGTCCAAAAACGGACGTTATGCCAGAGAATACTGATGCCGTGCGTGAACTAATAATACAAGATCGTCATGTGACATACCGTGAGATAGAGGCATCCTTGGGCATTTCTCCCACCAGCATACATTCGATATTGCATGAACACGTGGCCGTAAAAAAGGTTTGTTCTCGTTGGATCCAGCACAATTTGACAATCGCTCAAAAAAAAGCTCGTGTCAATTGGTGCAAAGAAATATTGAAAAAATACGTTCGCGGTGCAAGACTAATTAAGTTTAGTCTAAATTATTACACTAACTTACACTTATGAATAGTATGTAATTGTATGAAAGTTGTATTAATTTTTTGCACCACCTTTCAACCACAAACAATTAATTTATGTTTTTTTTTTAAGTCGGTATTATCTGTTCACACTTTATTATTTCTATTTATCATATAATATTTATACTATAATCGTCCATAGATAAATCCATATCGAGCAGCAGAGCTAAAATGTTTTATACGGACATACATTTTTTCAAGTTCCTTTTAGTCATTATGCAGGCGGATTAGATATTACAATCTTTCAATTCTTTAATTCTTTATTCTCTCATAAGGTTTTTTGAATGATAATTTAAACCTTATTTTTACTTTGTTTTTAATGTGAAAGGCTATTTTAAGTAAGTTTACTTTCGACTTCATTAAATATTTATTACAAAGAAGCCATACATTTGAAAATTTCATTTTTGTTCCACACTTTTATTCGTTGTTTTTAATGTTTTAGTTTCATTTCATTTTTCTACTACCTTACTTTATCGCGTATTCTAATTGATGCATTCAGTGTGAAAAGTTATATAAAATAGTAAGTCCACACTAATTCAGCAGAAATTTATTTTAATTTCAACATTGTTCTCACTACACTTGTTATAAAGTAAAATTATAATATGGGTATTCAGGCAACTGATTATTTGCTTAGTAGTTGATTACAACAAAAATTTGCATACAAAAATGAAACTTAGCAGTATTTCGGAGATTCTCAGATTAGTGAAAATTTGATTAATAGTGCTGCCAGTACCAAGTGTAGGCACTATAAGCATAGGGTGTCTTAAAAAGAATATGCAAAAATAATAACATAAATTAATAAATAAAATTCAGTAAAACTATAATTTTTAAAGGGTTAAAATATAATTAAAAAGTATAAAATTGAATATTCTATATGTAATCTATATAGGAAAACGTTTGCAATTTTAGTTATATGATAAATTTAAATGATATTAAAATTTACGAATATTTGAGTATTTCACTGTTAATATATGTTTCGTTTTTGCTGTAAATACAAGTGCTGCCAAGGCATTTGCACACAACAAACTAATCAGATTACGCATTTTGGGTCGTTCAAGCAACAGATTAACATCAAAAAGCTAATTTTTTTTAAATGAAGTTTTTTAATCAATTAACCAACTAATCTGTTGCCTGAATACTCCTAATATATTTTAATAATATATTTAATTTTGCAGCAGTATACATTGATATCGTGGGGCCATTACTACCATCATACGGATACAGCTTCTGCCTGACATGCATAGATCGATTTACCCGGTGGCCTGTTGTTATTTCCATTATGGATATTCGTGCAGACACAGTAACTGCGGCGTTCATCACGGGATGGCTTTCACACTATGGCGTTCCTTCAGAGATTACTACAGATCAGGGCACGCAGTATGAAGCAAAGCTGTTCGCTGAGCTTATGCAGTTGATTGGCGCTAAACATCTACGTACAAGTTCACGACATCCACTATCGAACGAAATTCTGGAACGATTCCACAGAACACTAAAAGCTGCACTGAAGTGTAAGTCAAATGAAAGGTGGACAGATGAATTACCACGGAGTATGTTCAAAGACGACATCCAAGCTAAAATGGTATACGGTACGTTTCTTAACCTTCCAGGAGAATTCTTTGAGAAGACGTCTCACATCGGTTGTAACTCCGAATGTGCAACGTTTATTAGGGAGACTAAGGATCAATTACGTCCGGTTCCAGGTTCAAATCATGCAAAAGCGAAAACGTTTGTGCAACGAGACCTGCAGACGTGTTCACATGTGTTCCTAAGGGATGATAGCGTACGACCTCCTTTGAAATCTCCTTATGATGGACCATTCAAGGTGATACAGAGTGATCGTAAGCTTATGTTATTACTATTTTAATCAAAGGCCTATCACCTTCTATCAATAAAAACAAATAAACAGAATATAATCGTTGAAAATCGCATTATTATTATTTCAATTTTGTATTTCGTTTTGATATTAATTTTTTGTTAAAATATTGCTTTAAAAATTGTACATTTGGGATGAAAACATGCTAAACCAAAGAATAAAGAAAAAGTAGAATAATAGACAAGTATGCTGTATAATGAAAAAGATGAAAAAATAAACTTGAAAAAGAAGTACTGCTCGGTTGTTTCTCTAGGCATAACTCAAAGCTTCGATATGGTTTCGCATTGTCGAAGTTTGATTGAAATTTTAGCTGGCATTGATTTCGACAGCAAAACAAGATGAAATCAAATTTTCATACAAAAATTTTGACATCTGAAAATGAAATTGAATTGCAATTTCTACAACATCAAGTTTATTTAAAGTTGAACAATTTACTGTAGTACAGTATTGTACAGTACAAAATTGTGCTATATTGAAGTTTTGAGAATGAACGAAATTATTAGGCTGCGATAACATTGCATGCGAATTTGTTTTGGGTGTTCGTACAAAGAATTCTCAAATGTACGTAATCATTTGTTAGTGGTTACAGTTGCTGAAAATTATTCCCGATATGCGTTGTCTTTCTCATGCGAACATTTGATTAAACAAAATATTTTGTTTAAAATTAATTCGTTCAAGCGAAATCGAGAGATGTCTATTGTTTTCATTTAATTTTATTTTAGTAATAATTTAACGTTTCTTTTTAACTTAATAGAAACCACTGCACTTGGTAGCTGGCTTTTGAAAATTAGTGAACTACAATAACAAAAATGATTTTGTTATTTTAAATAATTGAATTTTTGGCCGACCACACAACTGTTTGGAGCATTGCAAAATATCCATCATCAGTGGTGTTTGAATTACTTTTTATTCTTTTTATTTATTATTCTATAAATAATTATGACTTTTGTTAGATATTATTATAAAATTATTAATTTAAGAATATTTTAGTGTATTTCGTCTAATATGGAAGCACTGTTCTGTATAAAAGCGCCAGAATAAAAATTCTCAAAAAAGAAAGACTCCATTTTTATATCTTGATGAATAAAAATCACGCACCAAATTCATCTTTTGTTGTTTGAAATTATTAAATAATTTCATAGCGATTGTTATTAAATTCAATGTTATTTTGAAAAGCAAAACTGTCAATTCGCAGTCAATGTAACGGCAACATACGACATGTTTGCACAAATAAAAATATGCACGAACACGCAAGCCACAATTCGAAATCAATGTAGTTTCAAATTTTATCATTTTAAATCTGAGAATCAACAAAACAAGAATAAATAAGTATAAATATTTATAGATATACTACATCTTTTTAAATTCTAATAAACAATTTAATGATTGAAATATACAAAGTAATATTATTTTTATACAGTTTCGTTTCTTCTGAATTTAAAGTCTGATTGATATATTTTCTAATTAACTTACCTAAGTGGGGTTTTTGAACCATCCATGTATTCTAAATCTATATCTAATAGTCCTTCTTGATATTGTGCAGTTAGCTTATGTGTCACAGAAGTTTCTGCAATGTATCCGTTTTCAACGGCATTATCTGGTGTAATTGTCAATTGCAGTCCTGATACTACGTTAACAATAAGCTTGGATAAACCAACTTTATCACTTCCGACACGAATTTCTTTTGCACCAATTGTACGTCCAGTTATAGGAGATAACACCTTAAAATTGGAAGTTATGAAATGAGTACTGAGATAAAAAACAAATACATTTTACAATATATAAAGTTGAATTTATATATTCGATGTTAGAAAAATTTGTAATTATTATTTATTATTATTATTATTATTATTATTATTATTATTATTATTATTATTATTATTATTATTATTATTTATAATTGATTAAAAAAAAATCGCACAGCACAAAAAATTTTAAGATTTTACTTAAAATCTAAATTGACAATCACATATTTTATTATTATTAGTTGTCTAAATCAATGCGCACTAGATTTGAACAACGTCCCAGAATAAACAATGCAACATATATATGTAATCTATAGGAAAACGCAAAACAATCCATTCTAGAATCTAGAATTAAGGAAGAGAAACAAAAAATAATGGAGAATGGCTAACCGCATTATTCCGACAATTAATTGAAACCAGAAAGACAAAAAAAACAGATGCTATTGAGTAAAGAAATCGATCTGTCATGAACAAGCGGCTAGACGTATTTACAGATTGGTCTTCATCGGCCGCCACCGATGTGCAGTATTTATCTCCGCAACCTGCTTACTCATAGCGTCTATGGCTTCCATGATATGATCATTATTCTGTGTAGATGTATTGATGACAGCTACAGAATTGTAGTTTCCCATCTCCAACATCAGGTCTGCGTGTTGCGCACATTTGTCCAATCGTTTCGTATTTTTCTACTGCAGGAGGAACACGAACGATGTCTGCGATATTTCTTAAAGTGGCGCTATCGAGACTTCTGATTACATGATCATACTTGGTTTGGTCTGTTGTGATTCCCGCATTTCGGAATTAGGATTCTATCTGGATATAGTACAGGTCTGGATCCCTCTTGCAGAATGACCGATACGGCAAATGTTACCTCGAGGTTGTTTGTTTCTGTAAACATTTCGTACGTTACTATCTGCAGGCGTGTTGTTTCTATCCGGTGCGCTATTGTTGCTTGTTTCGACTTGTGACATTTTTGATCACGTCGGAGTCACCAATTGTAAGCTTTTCCCTACTTAATTCAGTTGTTTATGGTCAACTCATATTATTTTCAATATTAAATGCTGAACATACCACCGCCACAGGAGCTTTCTCAAGGCTACAAAATATATAACGTACACACAATATCCGCACAAACAAAAATTTTCAGCATTAATAGACTAACATGGAATCCCCAAGGAACATGCCGTAGAGGCAGGCCAACGACAACATGCCGAAGAACAATTAATATTGAAATTGACAAAGCGTTTAACGAACTTCGACAAATTTCGCAAAATAGAGATAGTTGGAAATCAAAAGTTGTGTCCTAAAGCTCCTAATGGAGTATGAAATAAATAATATAATAATAATTATTATTATTAGTTATTTTAGGATTGCACAAGTACTTTAACCACATGATATTAATTGCACTTTAAGCTAATGAAAGGTAAAAGGCTTGTTAACCTATCATTCATCGAACTTTCACGACAACGCATTGCTTAGTCTATGACCTTTTCTGAAAATCATGATCTTAGATTTATCTAGATTCGCGATAAGACCTCATTGTGAACAATACCCAAATATACAATCTATCATAATTTGCAATACATCAGTTGAATCCGTAAGCAAAACCACAACATTAGCATACAAAACGAAAATTGAGAAAACAAAATTGGGCTGAGCAAGTATCCTTGTTGTATGTTGTACAACTTAAGTGACTTTAAACTAAGAAGATATAAGATTACCGTTCTTTACGCGACTGCTGGTATTCGAGTAAAATTTCATTAGTATGATCTGCGAAATCCGGCTTGGTATTCGTTTAAGATATTATTGAACTCAACCCACCTATTCTTACGCGAAAGTAGTATAAATAATAATAAATAAATATAAATAATAACAATAAAAATATAATAATAAATAAACATAAATAATTTTTTTTTTGGCGTTGTAAAGAATTCAACTTAGTTCAATACTTAAGTAGGTTGGAAGTATACGTTTTAAACTTTTTTGTAGCCTAGTTCCAAGGCAGGAAGTCTTCTCATTTCTAAGTTTGCGTGCTGCAGCAATTTAGATAAGTGGTTAGCACTTCTTTTTTGAATTGTTTCATGTATAGTAGAGATTTTCAGGTCTTTGTGAATATCGTCGTTTCTGATGTACCATCTACTATTGTTCGCAGGATTTTTGTAGCCTTTGGATAGTATTTAACAGAGTTCGGAATGTGGTGCACAAAATCGCACACTGCACTGTGCGAGTGGAAATTGTTTTTAAAATATGCACACGCACATTTGTGGTGTTAAGAAAAAAAAATGCACGCACTCAAATTTGTTGTGCGATTTCAAATTTCACATCGCACAAAGCAATGATTGTGCACACAGATTCGTCCACACACATTTGTGCTGTGTTACCCCTGCGGGATAGGGGTTAGAATATTCCCGCGGTAAGGCATGCCTGTCGTAAGAGGCGACTAAAATCCAGCTAGGCGTCCGAGGGTGTGGCTTAAAAGGTCACAGAAACCCTGAGAAGCCCCTAAGCTGAGCCGAGTAGACGCCGGCTCTAACTAAGCGTCCACCATCCCGGGATGGCATCGAGGGACACGTAAGCGCACAATGTCTGCTTCCAATGTGAGAGCAATTGATGCGCCAACGAGGGAGTCGGAAATGCGCAGCGTCTGTATATCATGTTAGGGACGACTGTCGCATCACAATTCACATACGAGAAATGATAATGGAGGAAGCCTATAAGAAAAGGCATCAGGATCGATACCAGTAAGATTCTGATTACGGCATACTGGACAACAGCAAACGATTGGACATGATGAGATGATAATGGAGAAAGCCTATAAGAAAAGGCATCAGGATCGATACCAGTAAGATTCTGATTATGGTATACTGGAGCAAACGATGGGATATGATGACTTGGGCTGGTGGATGATGTATTCTGTTACCAATATGGGCTAGAGTGAAATCTGGTCCAGACGGCTTTCAGGCTAATGCTTCATCTGCCTCCGTCCCGTTAAAACCTGGCAAGCCTTAAAGAACGATCTTGGATTCGTCCTGTTAAGTTGGGGTGTAGGGGCAGTTAAGAATATCTTCTGCTTAGCTCCTGGTTTGGCTCTGAACACATGCGCTCATAAGGCTATGTGTCAACCCTCGCATGACCTCCCTGCATTGCAAAGATAATCATGGAACCACAATAAGGGTAACTACACAACGAAACCAAGATAACGGCTTTAAGTTGGGACCCAATTGCAAAGAAAAATGTTCACAAACACAAAAACCACAAAAACACCAATACACTCTGGCGTTAATACTCCAGCCGGCACCGAAAGTGCAAAGGAGTCACGGATAGTCAGTCCCAGCCAAAACCCCTTCATGAGGGCGCCGAGACTAACACACTCACCTGTGCTATCACAAGAGAGGCAAAATAACGAGAGAGCTCGCTCATCCCCTCCGGAGCTTAATGGGAACAGTGTTCCAAAAGTGAAAAGGGAAGCGTTCATTAAACTCGGGGACAAAATATCCGAGCTAAATGAGATGATGGGTGGAGGAAGAAGGTCCATCCACCAAGCAATGCGTGATCTTGTGGCATTGATATCATCGCTCTATAAAAGAACTGCCGAAGAGACACCAAATAAAACTATCATTGCTAAAACCAACGATAGAGGTACCCAAACAATTCAGCCGCAGCAAACACCAATTATATCCAAACGGTTAAGAGAAGAAATCGAAAAAAGTAGGAAGACACCGCCTAAGAAGTCGAAAACAAATCGACCCGTGGGGGCAAATAATACTAAGTCTAAGGAGCCAAGGAAAGCATTGGAAAGCAACTTAGATACGGTGGCCGGGACGAACGGCAACGCTGATGTACCTCAAGCACCAATTGAAGACAACAAACGACACGCTTGGGTTGTACAAACAAAAAAACGCGTGAAACCACCTCGACCGGATGTAGTGATCATTAAACCGTCTGAGAAACTTTCCTTTGCGGACATACTCCGGAAAGTAAAAGGAGCTCCAGAGCTTAAAGCAGTCGGTAATGATGTTCACTCTATCAGGAAAACACAAAAAGGGGAACTTCTGCTTGAATTCAAAAGATCAGCAGAAACAATAACAAGTGTCCACCAAGACCACATCAAAAGTATACTACCTGAGGAAATAGAGGTCAAAACGCTAACGGAGGAAGCTACCTTTGAACTACGATACCTGGACGAAATAACCACAGAAGAGGAAATAATTGAGGCATGGAAAAACCAAATAGGCGAAATACATCCCTCGGCGATCAAAACAATAAGAAATGCCCCCGGAGGTACCAGAACGGCTATAATTGTAATACCAAAGAAGCAGGCCGGTAAAGCTGAGGAGGTGGGCAAACTACGAGTTGGATGGACCGTGTGCCGATTACTCCAAAAAGTTACCCCCAGGAGATGTTACAAATGCTTCGATTTTGGACATGTGGCAAGGAACTGTCAGAGCTCCAAAGACTGGTCAAAACACTGCTACAAGTGTGGTGGAGAGGACCACCTTGCTAAAGCGTGTCAAGGTGCCCCTCACTGCCTACTTTGTAGAACTGACACAAATATTGACGCTAACCATATTACGGGAGGACCTAAATGTCCCCACTACTTGACTGCCCGTCGGAGGATACTAAATAAAAAAAGATGAAAGTTTTACAGCTGAACTTAAACCACTGTGAAGCGGCACAGGATCTGTTAAAGCAGACTGTACGCGAATTAAAAATAGATCTAGCTATAATGAGCGAACATTATAGTACACTAGACAATCACTGCTGGGCTACCAGCAAGTGCAACAAGGCATCGATATGGACGTGTGGTAAATTTCCACTAGAGAAGGTCTTCGACGGAGGGGAAGCATACGTAAAAAGTACAGTGAATGGAATAACGTTTTTCAGCTGTTATTTACCCCCCAGTCTATCAATCGAAGAATACAAACAAAGACTGGACAATATTGTTAGCGACGCTAAAAATATGAAGCCGATAGTGA